GTACTAGCTAGTTTTGAGCTGTTGTGTAATAGCGATTGCCGTTCCTCTGATAGAATATTCAGTAATCATGGAATAATAAGGTAATTTTGCTTCTAAATGTTGACAAGTGTTTTCCAGTGCAAGTTTTTTAGGAACTAACAAGGACAAGCCCTTCCCATCCCTTTGCATTTGCGGCACTGCTGAATATTCGATTGGGGCACAGAGATCTCGAAGCACTGCAATATCCTTTTGCCCGATTCCTGGCGGCTTTTGTGAAATTCGTTGTGACAAAGCTAAGTTGGGAACGAATGCAATTGTCACAGCGTCTGAAAGCAGGAAAAACTAAAATGCTATCAGTTTCGAAAGCAGCTATAGAGTTAAGTTGGACACACTTCATATTTCAAGACCAACGAACAAAAACTATTTGCTTTTAGCAAGATTTAGAAAAAATATTAGATTTTTGATTTGGTGTAATGATAGGAGGGAATGTTTCTACTGGCAAAGCGCCCTTTTTATTGTACAGCATCTTGCTGTCGTTGCTGCGAAATAATGGAGGAGGAGAGAAGGAATCAGTCTAATTATTATGCGTAAGAAAATATATTTGAGTATAGTCTACGTTTCATTCCTTAGCCGTAAACATACACCGAACAGAACATGTGAGTAGGAATGGGAACCATCAGTACAGCATCCAACTCTCCAAATATGAGCATGTATGATTTTGCGTAAAATTAGATTAGGGAAAAGACGAGTGAGAAGACGAGGAAAAAGATATCAGCGCATAAAAAAAATTCCGCAGAAAGTTTGTGAAAAAGTGGAGGAAAAAAAGAGTGACTGAAAGTTGATAATAGAAATTGCAACAAAAAAGGAGAAGACACAGCCAAACGGATGTATCACACTTCATGACGAAAGAGGAGAGAGGATTTGTTTCAAATCGCCCACCATTCTCTTTCACTGGCACATAAATTGAGTCCTTTTTGATCGGAAACTCTGAAATCCTGAACGTGCTGTGTGACGTAGACATCATAGGTCCACTGACCCTCCTGCACTCCGACTGGTCAATTGCAAGTTCTTTTTCAAAGATCATTTGCAATTCGGTCTTCCGTCAGATCGGCTGGTGTTTTAAATTCGCCTGTATTAGGTGCATCAAAATTCCAAAACATGCGTTTTGGATCCGGTTTATTGTTGTGCAGTTTTCTTACAATCCTAGCTCTTCCTGAATAATAACAGTGATGATGATAATGATAATAATAATGACAACAACAATAATGGTAATGATAATTAACAATAATAATAATAATAATAATAATAATAATAACAATAATAATAATAATAACAATAATAATAATAA